CTCTTGACATCCTTAACACAAATACTGGCAAATTACAACACAATGACATGGTTATAGTAATTTCTATTAAACTTTTAATGTTTTTATTAGTCTATTCATACAATGTGCAAAGTAAAATAATAATATTTTTGTTACCTAAGACAGTAACCAGTCATACAATAAATTAAAGACCAGCAACTGGGACAGTCCGGTCATCTGAAGAGAGTGTCCTGATATACAACATGTAACACCAATGATGATAATATTCGTGATCACACTTGTTGTGGACAGGTGAGGCTCGTCGACATGGGAATGCAGCTCATCTATGAAAAGGAAAACTCTAATTGCAAACCTCAAACAGATGAGGTTCATCAGCATAGGAATGCAACTTATCTATGAAAAGGAAAACTGATTTCAAACCTCGGGCAGATGAGGCTCGCCAGCATGGAAATACAACTTATCTATGAAAAGGAAAACTGATTTCAAACCACGGGCAGATGAGGCTCGCCAGAATGGGAATGAAGCTTATCTATGAAAAGGAAAACTGATTTCAAACCTCGGGCAGATGAGGCTCGCCAGAATGGGAATGAAGCTTATCTATGAAAAGGAAAACTGATTTCGATATTATGGACAGACCAGAGCAAGTCATTATCCCCCGCCTTAGAACAGGGCACAATCGACTTCGCTGCCACATTTACATAAAATTTAAAATTGGCGAATAAGCCATGTGTACCTGTGGACTGGTACCTGAGACAACAGATCACGTCCTCTACGATTGTCCCAGATTCAACGCTTCCAGACAAAACTTCTGGCCAAGAGACGTGTGGAAGCCAAAATTTACGGGCCGTTTAGGGAATTACAAAAAACAGTGAAGTCTATACTAGAGACAGCATTGCAAAAATTAGATAATTTATTTCAAGCGAACGAAAGAAGAAGAAGAAAAAGCATTTTTGTAACGATGATCATAAAAACTGGTGATCTTAATAATGTTACCGATGACGAAATCGTAGTAATGTTAATAATAATTCTTATTACGATGAAGAAACTGTTGCTGACATTATAGACGATACTAATGATTAAAGCTAATGATAATAATGCTAACCGTGATAACATTTCTAAAAACAAATGCGATACTTCTGATAATGTTGATTCTGATGATGCTGATAATGTTAATGATGATACATGTAATTAGTTTACTAACGATGAGGATACGACGTGAGTTGAGTTGAGCTGATTCAAAACCGATATCACAGCACTCGGGGCATTCCTATGAGCGCTCCGTCCACATCTTCAGCAGTCAGCGCAGAGTTACAATATCAATGGTGTCAGCGGCATTCTGATTAAACATCCATCTTGCCCTTCCTCTGAGTGTCGAGCATCAGCCAGAACCACACGTCACTCCCCGTTACACCAGTTTCACCAGACTGGTGATCGATTTGCTACTCCCAGTTGTGCACGCTCTCATGCATCCATATTCCACCAAGTTGTGCACAGCTAGCCAGTCTACCCGCCTGTCCATTTCCCAACACACCGGCGATTCCCGGAGAAAAGATTCAGACAAGGCTCTTCACCTGCGGCCTTCGCAGCGAAGCATGCCACTCTGCACCTTTGTCCTGACCTACCACAACACAGCAGGCTTTCAGAGTCAGTTTCTATCACGTTGTGTGTGTGTTTGTGTGTGTTTGTGTGGGTGTGTTCTCTAGCATGACGACAATAGTAGTACTAAGGAGGATGCTAATGATGACGATGCTGCAATTATTGATGGTTACTATGATAACACATCAGAGCAGACTGCAGCAACATGTTAAAATGGGTATAGCCAGACAAGAGCACAATGCTGGAAGCCAAAGTAGAATAAGACACAACACGGAGCTGGTGTGTTGAGCTGAGGGATTTCCCAAAGAGAGGAATCGAGCATTTATGGACTGAATGGTTCGATTTGCAATAAGGATACTCTATCGACTAACTAACGATATTTTTTTCGTTATGAAAACATTATGTACAATTTCAAGCTTCATTGTGATTTATTTACATGTTTTCTTTATCGTGTGACGTAAGGTTTATGAAGAAAGACAGACACAATAAAAGATATAAAATATGCCGGCTTATCTTTCTGTAGATTGTGTCTCCTCTCCCAGAACTGCTACAATCTGTGTGTACCCACCTAACTCGTCTGTACCGCATAGAATTTTTTTTTTTTTTTATGTTACCGTTTCAATAAATTTTTATGCATCTCGTTTTCTCATTTGTGGTATTATATGTTCACGTAATGTGCTAATGAAGGCTTTCTGGCAGCAACGTTCACTTGTCACTTATGCTTGTGAAAATGTGTAGCTGACTTGTTATACTTTTCATTTGGTTTGATATCTTTTCTTCAAGATATTATTTTAAGGGTTGGTACGCCAAATAAATTTTGGGATTGATGATTTAGAATAGCGCAAACGAAATGTATGAGGTTAGCAGACTGGGATATTGCTTCCACAACTAAAGTTAAACACATCTAAAGACTGGGAGGCAAAAAAAAGGAGGGGGGGGGGGGGGCCTCTATAGCAAATTGCTCAAGTTGTTCACCCCGAGTTCTGAAGTTTTTTTCTAGTCATCGTCGCTAGAGCTATAAATATTGGGCTTTGGTGTGACCCTCTTCACAGACTGCTAGCCTGAGAGCCTTGGCCCTATGGGGTGACAGACCACGACCGGCTCCATCTGACAGTCCGTGCTGCTGACGTCACCGGGTCAGGTCTAACAATGCGTTAACGCAACAGTTCCTAAACTTTGTGCCGAGGTACCCTGGAGTGCCGTGAACGAATGCCAGGGGTGCCGCGGCAATAATCAAGAACAGTCGATTAAAAATTGTGAAATTTTTAAATAAGGCATGTAGGTACCTAAAAGTTAAAATTTAAGTTGTCTTCCCTCGTCACTGTCGAAAATAGTTTACTTCTTGTTTGAGAACCGCCGCGTTAACGCATCGTTAGCCCGACCCGATGACGTCAGCAGCGCGGCCCGACAGATGGAGGCGGTCGTGGACAGACACAATGAAGTCTGTCGATACTCTAAAATTTTAACAAAGATTATACAAAGGGACACAACCTGGTATTTAGAAAGCAATTCAAAGGAAAATCCTCATTATTCACCCTGATATGCTTGTTATTTGTCATTTCGGACTTTTTTGTTGGTTTGTTAAATGACCTTAGCTGCACCCTAATTTGGCATTAGGTAAAAGTCCTGGGAAGTAAGACCAGTGTGATGTGATGTTGACCATATCAGCCACAGAGGGCCATTTGGTCTATACAATTTAGGTCTAGCCCTTTATGCCCTATACACCTGAAGGCGTGGACAAGGTTTCTTATGACGAATCTTTGGGTTTATATATACACACACACACACACACACACACACACACACACACACACAACAATGGGAGCAGATCACGAGGCAGACCAGTTAAAGGACGGTGAAAATATTAAGGTACACCAAGAAGACGACGAAGAGAATATTCTGGCAGACCTACAAACACTTAGAGTGTAACAGGAAAGAGAAGGCTATTCGCACAGATTAATAGCAGCAGGAAATAATCTGTAGCAGTGAATCTGGAGAGCTCAAAAGGCTTAATTTAAAAAAAAAATCCTATGCATCTATTCTAGATTACAATAGGAAATAAAAAGATCGAAAGTATGCCAGATTTTGAATAATTTTATATTGGATATTTATTTTTTCCCCCTAATATTTAAGGGTTTTAATATTGTACAGGTTATGTGTTTATTTTTTTTTTTTAAAGATAATTTAATTATGAAGTCTAATACTGTATATTGTTATACTTATAAGTGTATTTGTCGGATATTGTGACAGGCCTTTATTTATCTGGGAAAATTTAAACGGTTCGGGAGGCGATTATTATTTTGCGATATTAACAAAAAATATATACATTTTTATTTTACGGTACTAAACAACTATCATTGCATTTAGATCTTCCATATAGATATATCTTTTATTTTTAGTATTTGTATGTTGGCTGTTTACAGGATACCAGATGTGTCACACCATGACTAGTGAGTAAATGATCGACCCGAGTTTTCCCCAACCATAAATCTCAGCCAAATTAATTATCAAATGGCGAATTATTGACTACAACACTACTATGTTGTAAATGTCTCCCGTCAGATCCCAGACTATTAGCATCTTCATGATTTGCCACTTTTTAACGTTCACCGAGCAACTATAAATGGTCAAACCAAAATTTATTCCTCAATGACACATCGACCTCTTTGAACCAAACCGAGCAACGCCGTTCTCGATCTCGAATACATCGCATAATTTATTATCATTACTTGAACATCCGCCTTCCGCTCCGATTTGCCAAGAGGCAATTTCATTTTTCTTTTGGTCAACAACAACAAAAAAATTACTGTTTCTTTTTTAAATACTTTAATGATCTTAAGTTTAAGACTTAATTTAATGTATATTTACATTTATGATTTTTGTTTATGTTCTCCATAATTTTGCACTCAGTTATTCATAATTATATGGTCAAATAATGAAGTTTTTCATGACAACGAAACTAGGACAATGTTTATAAGTTACAGAGTTTATGCAATTAAATTTGAGGCTCTAATTAAATTAACGAAAGCTTTATAAAGTTATTGTATTAATAACGACAGATTTCGCATTTTACTTGAGTTATTATTTAGTCACGGGTGAAAGAATTGTAAGTGGGGAGATTTATTCTGAGTTTGGCTTGAATTTTATTGAGACATAATAGAGTTTATATAACTATATTGGGCTATATAGCTATTTTAACCAAATGTGCATGGAGTTGTATTAATTAAGATACATGTTACATTTTATTTAAGTAATAACCGAGTCAGAGGTGAAATAATTGTAAGTAGAAGATTTATGCTGTGTTTGGCTTGGATGAACGTGATGGGAATTTGGTCGATTCTCATAAAGGTTGGCAGTTGTGACGTCATGTCGATGGCTAGCGCCCTCTCAATGAGCACCAAAATTGTAATGGCGACCATGCAAATATGATAGAAGACGGTCCAGGATCACAACACGGAGGCCAACTCGGGCCCGGACTAGGCATGGTTACTAAATCGCAGCAAGATGATGGGATCAAACAACGTCCTCAGTATTCAATGCCGGGGATTCTCCACTTTCTTCAGACGGAATGGGCGAGATTCGAAATGGAGAAGTCACAATGGGAAGTCGAACGGGCAGAACTACAAGTGCGTAGCGTCTGTGTATTGTGGTTGTTTCTAAAGTATTATACGATATTAAGCTTGTTAATTTGAACTTATTCGCTAATGTATATATTTAACATAGATGGTAAGATGTATAAATTAAAGTTAGATAAGAATTTCAATCCAGCTAGTATTAGTTATGCGAAATCTATCAAGGGGAATAATATTGGCCCTCCTGTGCCTGTGTGTTCTACCTACTCTAAATCTAACGACACGGTCTACCAGTCTGGCTTGTCTTCATTCTTTCTTGTTCGATAGGAAATAAGTTTAAATGAGATATGTTCATGGCTGAACACAAGGCACACTAGGTGCGCTAATTAAAACGATTTATAGGCTTCTCTTAGGATTATATTATAACAAACAGTGACACGACATTGGTTTGTAACAATAACCTCCATTTATTTTAATATTGTAGTTTTTACCCACCCCTCTTTCAAATTAATTTTGCTATACTGACAGTTACTACTGATACATACTGTTAGCACTGTTATTTATTAACAGTTGTGATGATTGCATTGTCACCTGCTGGGCTTGTCTGTATGTTTCTTTTGTACTTTATCCACAGTGGATACATGGGCACACAGTCCAGACCTTTGTTTTATGGCCAATTCCTTCCTGCCTCTGCTTCTGTGTCCAGATTATTTTTAATAATATGTCTGACTGTCTTATGCACTTCATGTGTTTCTGTGTCTCCCCTGTCTGATATGTTCTGCTTGTACTTTTAGGTTATCCCCTGAGTTGCATTGCAGTGAAAGTAAAAGAAAGTCATACTAAGTTTCCAGTCATAGTTATAACATTCCAGCTGAAAATTCTATAAATTTTCCTGTGTGAATTGGTAAAAGGAGAAAGGTTTATAGTTTAGACCAGTGGTTCTCAACTTTCCTAATGCCCCGACCCTTTAATACAGTTCCTTTTGTTGTGGCAACCTCAGCCATACAGTTATTTTCATTGCTACTTCAAAATTTCAATCAGTATATGTTTTCCGATGGTCTTAGGTGACCCTTGTGAAAGGGTCATTTGACCCACAAGAGAAGATATCCACTTTGAAGAATTTAATAAATTAGATGACCCTACCCTTTTCCCATTTTTGGGGCTGTTCTGTTCTGTACCAAGTTTCTTAATAATTAATATAATTTCAAGACAACTTTGATTAGTTATTAATATTAATATTTTATCTTGAACACTTTGCTTCTCTAAAGTTCATTACATGCACTTTCATGAGTACTTCATTAGTTAACAATATATCATTTGTTTAACAATTGCCAGGCGAAGATAGCATTTTTACAAGGGGAGCGGAAGGGACAAGAGAATCTGAAGCAGGACTTAGTGAGGAGAATAAAGATGTTGGAATTTGCTCTCAAGCAGGAAAGGTAAGACTGAAAGTAGAGTCTTCATCTTCTCAGCGTTCACAGATTGTAAACTCCAGTGACAAGTTCTGGTTGTTCGTCCACTTCTGGACTTTGATCTTGTTCCAGAACTTGAGTTTTGCATGCACATCTGTTTTGCATATCTGGCTAATTGTTGATTCCTTGCCTCTTAGGCAGATATGAAGCCTTCATTAGCAAACAGAGGAACAGAGGAAAAAACGGACAGAAAGAACACCAAGTAGTAATAGCAAGTGGTGTCATTGGTGGAAAAACTGCAAATAAAAGGAAAATATTAAGATGCTTGCGAGATGAGATGCCCGCGAGATGAGATGCCAACCTGACCATTTGAGATCAAGGGAATAATGATACTGTCGGACAAATTGTGTGAACGACGCCTTATACTAGATTCATCGAGAAACAGCAGGTCAAATGGTTTTGTCATCTTGTTAGAATGCAGCCAGATAAAATGTTATCACAAGCACTACAGCTTAGAAGATCAAGAGAATGGCCGCAAAAATATGGATCGACAAAATCAAAGACACTCTACGCCTTCACATCATGGCAATAGCCAGTGGCAGCCAGGTGCAATAGAATTATTCCTTCCAAGGATGCTCAGCTGCAGAAGTAGTTTATGATGATAATGATTTAGAGGAAACAGTTGTACAAGAATTTCAGTCAAGACTTGCTTTCCCAATACCTTGTACATTCCCATGAACATGGTGTCTGCATCTTCAGCAGTCAGCACAGAGATCTAATTCTGAGTGTACCAGTAGCAATTCATGTCCTTCTTGCTTTTAAGTAAGTAAGAAAAACATTAAAAAGTAACATTTAGGAGAAAAATCTTCATCAGCAACAACATCAACAGAAGACAAATTAAACAACTGCAGTTAAGCAAAATGATGTGTAAAACATGTACATTAAATATATATAGCTTAAACAGATTTAGATACTTGAATGTCTTTAATGTAAAGTTACTATCTTTTCTTTGGCTGTCACTTTGATTCCTGTTTCTTTCTGAAAGGCATTGCAGGTCTTCTTGTCTCGTACTGTCGAAAATTCGTGGCTGGAACGAACAGCAAACAAAGATAAAAACTGCTGCAACCAGACGCGGCAAAGATGAAGACTGCTGACGCGCTGTAAATACATGTCATAAGAAGTGCCAACAAGCGCACGCTTTTGCGATGCACTCTAGAAGGGGAAAAAAGTACCCCAACCTTATCCCCCTGGAAATTTTTTGAATTTCTACCGTGACGCCATAGAGTAAGTTAAAATTATTGTACCGGAAACACAATTGACTTAACCATAAGACAAGAAAGGCAGAATCCATAGCTTAGGCGTTGCGAGTTCGGCTTGTAATTCCAACGTACCGCGATCGAAACTCACTGCTGGCTGCATGTATTTTTATCCTTGTATGGGGCGTCGCAGGTCGGCCCAGCCTAAAATGGGTATGTCCTGGGGAAGTAAAGGGAGCCGGTGTAATGCTGACTATATTACCCATCCTAGTGCCGATTGGTCTGTAAAAATATGGGTGCTCTTCCCATATGCCCGATGCCCTAAAGACATGAAAAGGGATCTTTACTTTGCTATAAGGCAAGAAAGAGATAAGAAATTGGTTTTTATGATGAACCTATGGTGAGTTCCTTGGTATTCAAAAAGTTAAATCTGTTCTGTGGACCACCAAATGGGAAACACTAGCATGACATATACAATGTTCCTCCTCAGAGCTAAGTACCACAAGCTGAAGTATGGTACTGATTTGAATCCAGAAGATTTAAAACCACCATCTTTTGACAAGGAAAATAAAGGTATTTTGTTAAAATCGTGTTTATTCTAGCACAGTTTAATTAATTGTCTATTAGATCTTACTTTTCTTTGATCCTTCTGTCAGGCCCGTATCCTTGAATGTCTTGTGGATAAATTTTGGTCTGTTAGATTGTAAATGATTTGCTGTTCAAATGTGAAATGCTTGGGCTGCGGGCAGTAGATAACTTTAGGATTAATAATATAAAATGTTTTTCTTTAAAGGCATCAGCGGCTTTTAATAGGGTTTAGTTTTAAAACCAAGATACACTTTTTCACTTCTAATGTTATTTTAGTTTTAACATGTGCCATAGAAAGGTGGGGAACCGCTAGGGACATGGAACAAAAGTTGAATACATTTGAAAACACATGCTTGAGGAAAATGATGAAAATAAAATGAGATGAATTCAAAAGGAGCAAAGAAATAAGAGAAATTTCTAGGCAACCACTAGTATCAACAGTTATGACAGAAAAGATGGTGCTTTATTGGACCTGTCCTAAGAAGCCAGCAGAGAATCACTAAACAGGCATTGGAATGGGAAATAAGAGTTATTAAGGAGGTGAGGAAGCCCAAAAGAAACCCTAAAATGAATGTTGATACGAGAGGCCAAAGCTGCTAGACTGGATTCCATGCATGATACTCAAATTAGAAACAGAATGGAATGGAGGAATAGACCGTAAGCCCTGTATGACATAATTTGGCACAACAGGACAATGAATGAGAAGCCTTGATGAAAGCTGTTGTGCAGTCCAGATCTCCCCCTGTGCCATACAGCTTTGTTGTGATTCAGGTTGGAACAGGCCGGATGTTCTGTCTGTTAGTAGCATATAGTCTACAGTGTTGGAGTACCTACTCTTCATTTTCATGGGCAGAGTTGCAAGGACATACCTCTTGTGTTTCTGGTACTGAAGAACTTGAATAATCTTCGCAAAGTTACTTGTGTCTTGTCCTTAGTCTGAGTATGATAAATTAGATCATCTTGAGAGTCGATGAAGCTAGTCTTGTAGATAAATGTTGGTCTGTTAAATAACTCATTGTATCCATTATGCTCTTCAAATGTGAAATTCTTGGGCTGCCAACAGTAGATAAACTTTGGGATTAATAATATGAAATATTTTTCTCAACTTCTTTTGTGTCACTCATTCAATAACAATTTCACTGTTGTAATTCTTATTTTTAGTTCCAGTTGTTGAATAGTGTTATTATGTTAACAATTTAGAAAACATGTTTATTACTTTTGTTGCTTTAAACAACTGCTTGGATACACAGTCAAAGTAACTACTTGGGGTAACAACTGATTGGGATGGATAATTTAATTAATAGCTGCTTGGGACAGGTCTCCTCGCGTTGTCTTCTGATGATCTAGCTTTTGTTTCAGAGCCAGCTTGTTGGTGCTTTTCCTTTTTGTTAGCTTGGTTGTGTATCTAAAATTTTTAATGTGCTTTCCCATCCTTTTTGTTGCTTCCATTAGTTAGTTAGTCTTTCCTCTTGGGCCTAGGGTGGTGCATACGACAGAAGTCATAGCTCTCCATATCTGGTGGTTAGTTGCCACCTACTTTAGGTCTTGGATGTTTGTTAGGCCTATGATTGAGCCTTACCTGATATTTCTACATAGAGTCACTCTTGGTCTTCCTCCGTTTTCTTTTCTCTTCAGATGTCCTTATGTGGGCTTGGTTAGGAAGTGTCTTATCCATTCTGAGTGCATGGATGATGTAGTTTCAGCAGTGCTTTCTTATACAATTGGATTCATTGTCTTGCTTGGTCTCTTGTCATATCTTGTATGGATCTGAAATCTGTCCATTGGAGATTTCGTATTTTTCTAAGACATTTGTTCTCAAAACTAATTTTTTATCTGGAGCTACCGTTGCTTTCCAACTCTCGCATCCATAAGTAAGCTTGGAGTCACAACAGTTGAAGATAAGTTTTGCGTGATTGCTGAGTGTCTTTGACTTCCAGATATTTGACAGTTTGTTAAAGGTACCAATTACCAGTGCGATTTTTATAAATTTCTGGCGCTGAGTCCCTTTTAGAGAAATTAAGAAGTTTTAACGAAGCATCATAACATTTAGAGCTAGAAATCTGATTCTAAAACACGGGATGTTTTACGACGGCGACTTTTCGTGTCATCAGTCAGCAGTCTTAAGGCAAGCTAGAAGGAAACACGTCCCGCCATCTTGACCCAAACCATTGCTATTATTAGGATTCCGTTATTGGTACTAGTTGTCAGTCAGGATAGGCAGAATACCTATAATAATGAGACAAGGAAGGGTTAATCACATTCAACTGGATAGTATGAAAATCAAATGAACAGAAACATACAAGTACTTGGGTGCAAACTTCAACTGCTTCAACATACTAAGAGAAGAAATGCAATATAGTCTATACTATAAGTAAAGTATACTATGCTCTACAACAGAGCTATTAAACTGGTGGCCTGTGGGCCAGATGTGGCCCACAGAGGCCTAGCATGTGGCCAGTGGATTATTGCCTGTTGTATTATATCAGCAAAGTTTCTACGCTGGGCTAAGACCTCTGGCCTGCAACGATCCCCATTTTCAACATTTTGGTTCCTGAGTAAACTTAGTAGAATAGCATTGCTCTAAAACATCTTCTAAAATCAAGTCTCTGTCTCAAAACACAAAGATCAAAATAAATACAATGTTGTGATAAGACCAGTTGTTTTGTTTGGCAATGAAACTTGGAACACAGCTGAAAGAGATGTAGCTTATTGCTAATTTTTTTAAACAGTCTTAGGGCGAAACTTTGAGCCCATCAGAGATGCAGACAGCGGGAAATGGAGATTGGGAAGCAACAATGAAATTCATAATCTGTTCAGATCACCATTGATCACTGGCGTAATGAGAGCTAATTGACATGGCTGGGGCATATTGAGAAAATGTCAGATGTCATAGTGGCGAAAACTATACACAGAGGGGGTTGAATAGTCTTAGACCACAGGGCAGACCAAGAAGACAGAGTGTAATAATATACTGGCAGATCTGTAAACACTCTGTGAGTCACCAAGTAGAGGGAGAGGACAGAGATGATGGGGGTGATATCTGCAACAATGAACTTCAAGGGCCTAATTGCTGAAGAAGAAATAGGATTTAGTCTGTATATTTATATTTTTTGTTTTGTGTTTTTGTTTGTGAACATTAATTATGTAGATGATTGTGTTAGATTTTTTGTTCTTCTACTTTAGCGATTCCCAGACTTGTTTATGTTTTGAGTCACAACCAAATTTTAATAAGGCAAAGTGCTCCACAACACCATACATTTAAACTGGGCTTTTTAATATGGTAAATAAAAATGCTTAGAAAATACATAGATTTTGTCAATACCTAACTTGATTACATGATTTTTGTGGGGTTCTCTGTTAAAAAATTGTTTATAGCTTACCACTTCCTGGCGACCTGCACACAAAACGGTTTTGTGACCTTATATAAGAGTACGACCTTTGTAAACTGTCTTTTCGTAACGAAACAGATTTCTAAGCCCTAGAGATAACTGATGGCAAGAAGAGATAATACAAAATATGCCAGGCTATAAGTTGTGCTAACTATTTGTCTTCTTCAGAATTACAACAGGAAAACATTGCTTTGTTTACAGAATGTTTCTGAATTTTAATGAATAAATAATCCTAATTTTTTAACATCAAGTATTTAAAACTAGTGAAAACATTTTGCTCAAACAAAAATTCAGTACTGCTGTCTGGAGCACAATAAACAGCATCTTGTCTCAGAAACTGAAATATTTTTGTCATATCAAGCGCCATGGCGGATTGGAAAAAAAAATAATAGCAGAAGGCATGGTACCAGGAAGGAGGGACAGTGGCCAACCAATACGAAGATGGGCATAGTAAAAAGTGACTCCTTGAGGATAAAAGTACACGAGATGGTGAAGCTGTGGAGAGACTGAGTTTCTTTCAGGTAGACCGTGGTAATATTGACGTTCTGCAAAGGGCCTGTTACATGATGATGATGTATGAAGCAGAAGCATGAATGACAAAAAACAGTAATTAACTACTAACGTTCAATAACTGGTGCCCACAAAGAATAAAACAGTAGAGGAAAAAATCACTCATGTGGAGCAGTATGAGAGAACTAAATAACTTTCAGTAGAAAGAGTGAGGAAAAAAGATGCTGATGTTGGAAATAACACATATTGGGGAAACTTGATAAAATAACTTGTGTCCTTGTGCTGGAATCCACAAGACTACAGAAATAAAGACAGGCCCAAAAATGCATGGAGAGTGGTATTAGAGAAGCAGGTGGAAAAGATAAGGATGCCTTGGCAGGAGTTGGTTAAAGGTTTCCGCCTAATTGGGGAATAAAGAGTAAAATAAGGAAGCATTATGTGATTGATGAGCTAAAAGAGAGTAATTATAAATCTTGCACAGAAACTAGAGCTCATGGGAAAAATTACTTTAAAAAAAAACTGCTTAGTTTTTTCCTTCTTTCCTTTTTCAAATAACATTTCTGGCATTATCAGTTTTTTTTGTTTTGGTTTTTATTTATTCGATAGATTCCAACAGTTTTCTTGGAAATAACAGTTTTTTGTGTGGTTTTGCTGCTGGGGTTATAGCACAGCAAGTGATACAACCCTCCATCTTTCAGATTTACGTTTGAATTACTCCTAGGCTTAACTCTTTGAGTCCCAAGGAACTCATCTTACGTTCACAGGCTCCATCCTAGAAACCGAATGAACAGAAGATGCTGCGATTTTAGTCTCTCTTTACTACCCCATGGGCATCTCATGCTTAACCTTTTGGGACTAAAAGAGTTAAACAGGCACACCTTCTCTCCTTTAGATCTATTTTTCACAAAGAATTTCTTTGCAAACGAGTTGGATAGGAGGCAGACCAAGAAAACGGAAAAGATTATATATACCCAGACCTACAGACACTTGGAAAGTCCGCAATTAGGAGAAGGCCAGTGGCAGAGATTAATAGAGGTGGGTGTTATCTGCAGCAGTGAAATACAAGTGCTGGTTTTACTAGTTGAGTGACTTCAATATTTATTATTTCAGATGACCAAATAGATGGGGAAATTTCCCTGTCTACTTCATCGGGAACAAGCAATGCCACCTGGCGTCAGGGGCGACAACTGCTTAGACAGTAAGTAAAGTGTTTATGTTTGGTCATTAATTATGTCTGGGTGTGCACACGTGCATGTTTGATTTAGCATGTTTGAGGTTGAATAATCCACTGACTTCCATGCCTGACAACCCTTACATTTTCCCCAAAACCACACATTTCTAGTGTGTACTAAAAATGCTATAGCTTCACAACTATTTATCATAGATTCATAATATTTTGTATTTTTGCGCAAGATTGAATGGAGTAAAAACTTCAAGAACAAAGAAAATTTTGTAGTCTTGCTTCATATCATCACTCTGTGGCTGTAGATTGGCCAAGTAGCTAAGCGTAACCATCGGGCAATTGCATAACAAAGTGCTGTAGTAGTCAGTGTGTTAAAAGTAAGAGGGTTTATCCTGTATGGCTCAGTCACTCTCTGCAGAGTGGCTGGCTACTTGTGAGAATGTTGTACAAAGCATTAACTCTAGCTGCATCAGTACCAGCCGAGGCCCCTCCCCTGATATCTCCAGAACGCTAAGAGCAGAGTCGGAATCAGAGCACAGATGCAAGAGGCTTAACCACTTCACCAGACACCCATCCCCATGTGGGTTCCGGTGCCTCATTGTGGGGAAAACAAGAGTAGACTCACAGCCTGCACAAAAGCACGTCGTAAGAGCTTCCTTCAAGGTCAGAGTGCATCTGCCTGAGAGTCAGGGGACCAACAGTCTGCATACAAATTAGCCAGATTTGTAAAACGAATGTACACGTAACACTCAACTTCTGGAACAGTACTGAAGTCCAGAACAACCAGAACTTTCCTCTAGTTTACAGCTGATGAATGCAAAGAAGAAGATTACAGAGACCCTCATTTATCATCTAAGTTTGTATTGTGTCCTTAAGAAATAAAATAAGAGCTTCTGAGCTGAAGTGATGTAGAAAGATTATCAAAATAACATGGATAGAGAAAGAAAAAATATTGACATCCTAAAAAATCAGAACTTCAAGGAAGATGGGCTAGTAAACAGCATCTGGTCTCGAAAACTGAAATATTTTTACCATATCAAGCGCCATGGTGGATTGGGAAAAAATAATAGCAGAAAGCATTGTTCCAGAAAAGGGACAGGGACCGACTAGCACGATAATGGGCACAAGATATAAGTGAGACCTTGGGTAGGAAAGTGCAAAAGGTGTGAGAAGAGTTTCTTTCAGGCAGACCGGGATCAGAGTGACATACTTCAGAGGACCTGTAAGATGATGATGATGCTGTTTGTAATGTATGTTTAAATGTAGAGGTGCTGAACCATACATATTGGTTCACAGACCGGGGCTCACATTGCTGTCTGTCTACACCTTTCCATGGTCATCCTAGATACAAGTACCCAACCGGGGGCCTGGCCAACATAGATTGATACACAGATAGATGGATAGACAGACAGACAGACATACCATACAGATAGATAGGGTCAGCATTACTTGTGAAGCTGAGGTGCATCTGGCTGAGAGCGGAGGAGCGAAAAGTCAGTAAGCCAGATCTGTAAAACAGATGTGCATGCAACACTCAAGTCCTGGAACAAGGCCAAAGTCCAGAAGTGGATGAACAACCAGGACTTTCTGCTGGAGTTTACAGAAGCTGATGAATGCGAAGTATAGTAGTTTTATGTGTGCATGCATGTCATATGCTTGCATGTGTTTATGTGAAAGACTTACATGTAAGATTTAGACTCCTGCAACTTTCATAATTTTTGGTTTCTTCTGCCTTCTATCCCCCAAAGGAGCAGATGCTTTCATCATCTTATACTCTCTTACTTAACCATCCTGTTGTTTGCTATCTCTCATTCTTTGCATGAGTTAGGTTGCACTGTTTCATCAGGTCTGTGTGGCCTAGTACACCTGACTTCAACAAGCATTAGGTTTGGGTTTGTTTTCCATAGTGTCTCACTGTCCCGTCTACCTACAAGGCAACCAGTTTTTTGTTCTTCATTATCTGGTTCCTCTTCCTGGACATGTCTGACGTAGGAGATCCCACCAGTAACTAGGCTACCATTAGCAAAACTCTGGGTTACAGGAACATAAAGCCCCTCTACCACTGCAAGATGAAAACAGTAATAATGCAATTACTTTTGTTGGAGGGGATGGGGGCCTTTGAAGCAGAGGATTTCAGGCCTAATGGCTGTTGCTGGCACAGTGGACTGTGCAGGTGAAGATATTTTTCCTTGACAGAAAAATCCCCAGTCGTACAGAGGATTTGAAACCAGATCTCCTGCATGAGAGAACAGCATTTTTAATTGTTCAGTCAGTGACTCCTCTTTGAGTTCAGTTTTGTAAAATAAAAAAAGATTTTTCTTTTAAAAATGTTTCTAAATTTATTACTACTATTAAGTATGCCGGTGTTGTAAATCAAAGAACTGACACAGCTGTTTTAATTTGTTAAGCTTTGTTTATATTTTTTAAAACTTTAATTTCGTTTCTTCTGTAGATATCTACAGGAAATTGGTTATACTGACACCATCATTGATGTCCGGTCGGCTCGAGTTCGCTCCCTTCTAGGCCTGCAAACCCAGACAGGAGATGCAGACACTGACATCTCTCAGTCCATACTGGTCAATGGAGAGCAGTCCAACAAACGAGACCTTCAGGGGAAGAGGTAAATTTCCTCAGTGCATGGTCTTGGCAGCTAGGACGAAATCCTTTTCATTTTAGTAGAACTGTGTTGTAAATGGGGAGCTGCTGTAAGCATAGTGTCTAGATCAGGGCTGTTCAGATAAGTTAACCTAGGGGCCCAAATGTTGAACACATGGATTATCACGGGCTAGATGCCCTAGTCGAAGCATGAAAAAAATCATTAATACAGTATAACTGTCATTGTTCCACTAGTCACTTGCTAGGCCTCTGTGGGGCAGGTTTGACTCGAGGTCCGCCAGCTGTATAGCCCTGGTCTAGATGCTCAACTGTCTTTCTGAAGGTCTTGGGTTCAGTTTTGCTTTGAGGCCGATTTTTTTTTTTTGTTTTTTGTGTTTTGGTTTGTGTTTGTTTTTTTTGTGTTTGTGTTGTTTTTTGTTCATATTTGTGTTGTGTTTTTGTGTTTTTTTTTGTCTTGTTTTGTTTGTGTGGTTGGTTTGTGTGTTTGTTTTTTCTTCTTTGTGTTTTTTGTGTTTTTTGCTTTTGTTGTTCTTTTTCTTCAGAATTGATCTTGGCTGTCAGGTTGACCCAGCCTCAAAGTACCAGGTAATATCCTGGGAAGAAAATTCAGCTGGTTTGATGTTCACCACATCATCCACAGAATGCTGATTACAGATTATGATTACATTTTTGTTTTAAATATGCCGTAAATAAGGCGTGACTGCAGTCCAGCTGATGACATGACGTGTTAAATACTGCAAAGAATATAAGCAGAAAGCTGGACGGAGGCAGTGTGCACAGCCAAACATTTCTGCCAATGTTTTTATCAACGGGGTACTAAATACAGCTCAGACTATGACTGGAAAACTCAGTGGACAAGACTTTGGTTACTTAGAAGCTCTGTTTTCTGACCCTGGGTTGTTTAGAAGCTCTTTTGTCACGTCTGTTGAATTTTCCAGTCACAGTTTGTGTTGTATTAAGTAAGTACGACATTGATAAAGACGTTGGTTATGAGGGACGTGATCTTGTATGACATAGTAGATCGTTATGAGGGAATTGGATCTTATATGGCATAGTAGATGGTTTTAAGGGAATGTGATCTTGTATGGCATAGTAGATGATTATGAGAAAATGGTATCTTGTATAGAATAGTTAGTGGCTATGATTGAATTAGATCTTGTATGACATAGTAGATGGTTATGAGGGTATGTAATCTTGTATGGCATAGTAGTTTATGAGGGAATATATCTTGTTTGGCATAATTGAGGGTTATTAGGGAATTGGATCTTGTATGGCATAGTAGTTGGTTATGAGAGAATTGGATATTGTATGGCATAGTGCACAGTTATTAGGAAATTGGATCTTATATGACATAATAGTTGGTTATTAGGGAATTGGATCTTGTATGACATAATAGTTGGTTATTAGGGAATTGGATCTTGTATGACATAGTATTTGGTTATTAGGGAATTGGATCTTGTATGGCATAGTACACAGTTATAAGGGAATGTTATCTTGTATGGCATAGTGGATAGTTATGAGGGAATGTTATCTTGTATGGCATAGTGGATAGTTATGAGGGAATGTTATCTTGTATGGCATAGTGGATAGTTATGAGGGAATGTTATCTTGTATGGCATAGTGGATAGTTATGAGGGAATGTTATCTTGTATGGCATAGTGGATAGTTATGAGGGAATGTTATCTTGTATGGCATAGTGGATAGTTATGAGGGAATGTTATCTTGTATGGCATAGTGGATAGTTATGAGGGAATGTTATCTTGTATGGCATAGTGGATAGTTATGAGGGAATGTTATCTTGTATGGCATAGTGGATAGTTATGAGGGAATGTTATCTTGTATGGCATAGTGGATGGTTATGAGGGAATGTTATCTTGTATGGCATAGTACAGTTATGAGGGAATGTTATCTTGTATGGCATAGTGGATGGTTATGAGGGAATTGGATCTTGTATGGCATAATACAGTTATGAGGGAATGTTATCTTGTATGGCATAGTGGATGGTTATGAGGGAATGTTATCTTATATGGCATAGTACAGTTATGAGGGAATGTTATCTTGTATGGCATAGTGGATAGTTATGAGGGAATGTTATCTTGTATGGCATAGTGGATGGTTATGAGGGAATGTTATCTTGTATGGCATAGTGGATGGTTATGAGGGAATGTTATCTTGTATGGCATAGTGGATGGTTATGAGGGAATGTTATCTTGTATGGCATAGTGGATGGTTATGAGGGAATGTTATCTTGTATGGCATAGTGGATGGTTATGAGGGAATGTTATCTTGTATAGCATAGTGGATGGTTATGAGGGAATTGGATCTTGTATGGCATAGAAGGTGTTTATGATGAAATGGAATCTTGTATAACATAGTAAATCGTTGTGAGGGAAAAAGGATCTGCTTGTATGATACCTGACTTGTTGCAGTGTTTTGGCATAATTGCATGTAGTCTTTTAACTTACTTTCACAGGGCAGGATTAAAGAAAATTGGTAACATGGCCACTGATAATGCTTTAATTGATGCAGAGAATGCCGTCATGACCACATTTGATTTCCTCAGTACTGGCAGTGTAGTGGATGATGATGATGACTTAAGGTAAGTTTGCATTGTGTTCGCTTGTAAGTCTGTGTTGTTACGTTATCTTCTGGCATGTCTTCTTATTCTTTACATTCACAGTCAGTAAACTCCAGCAGAAAGTTCTGGTTGTTTATGTAAAGATATGATTGACTTCTTTGCCTTAGGTTTTTCACATATAACTCAGTCTGAGGCCGCAGATTGGCTAGCCATCTGCAGAAAGAGTTTGCACAAAGCACAGATTTATAGTTCGCACAATGATCTTTAGCGGCGTCCAGGGCTTAGGTGTTGCAAGTCTGACTCGTAATTCCAACGTACCACTGCTGGCTGCGTGGATTTTTATCATGGTATCGGGCGTCGCAGGTCGACCCAGTCTGAAATGGGTGCCAAGGTGTATGGCCTGGGGAAGTAAAGATGGCCGGCGTAATGCTGACCACATTACCCACCTAGTGCCGATTGGTCTGTAAAAATATGTGTGCTCTTCCCATATGCCTGATGCGCCTGAAGGCGTAAAAAGGGATCTTTACTTTTACATTACTCGCAATGATCTTCATGGGTCTTTGAAAAAAATCGAACTCCTGAACTGACACCCTCTTCTCATTATGTGACCAAAGAACAGTGTTTGTCTCTTTCTTATTGTTTGATATATATAGAGGTCTACTTTCATTAGCTTCTTTCAAACAATCATTGTTAGTTACTCTGGCTGTCAAAAGTATTCGTAACATTCGTCTCAGAAACGACATCTCTGTTGCTTCCAAATTCTTCTTAATTTGTTCGCTGACATTCCAAGATTTGCTGCCATACAACAGAACAGGTTCTATGTAACATTTTAGCACGCTCTTTCTAACATTTAATGAGAGCGATTTATTGCATAAGACATTTTTATTTTCTGAAATGCAGCTTTCGCTTGACCTATTCTGCTATAATCTCTGCCACACATTTTCCATTTGATGAAAGGATTGTTCCTAGATATTTGAATTTACTGCATGAATATGCAGTTGGCTTGACTGGGACAGCAGTCTCCTTCCATTGTTTTTTTCACAATGTGACAGCGATGGGCATTCCTTGAGTTTTCGCTGGCACCGGAACAGGGCTGTTATAGGGCGACCCTATTTGCCATGAAGATGGAACTATACTAACTAACGACTAACCCATTAGAAGAAAATTTTGTAGCTGTGTTAAACTTCTTCATTTTGGTCCTTAGTGATGAGAATGAAGATGGCATGGCAGCTGATGATGAAGCTGAAGAGAGGCTTGAGAGAAAAGGGATTAGACTGAAGGTTAGTTTGAGTGTTTTGTTGGGGGTTTTGTTGATGGTTACAAGTTAATAGGTTTTGTTGATGGTTACTAGTTAAAAGGTTTTGTTGATGGTTACTAGTTAAAAGGTTTTGTTGATGGTTGTGTGTGTGTGTGTTGATGGTTGTGTGTGCCACATTAAAAGACATAATATACTTTTAAAAAACCACACTGGGGATGAAGGATTGAGAGCAAGAGATAGACGATACAGTTGGGAGGACAACATCAGAAGATGGATGAACAGTGGTCTAAGAGAAGATATAACCAAGACAAGAGAGATAGCTTGTTGGAGATCAATTGCAGCCAACCTTCATTCTGGAGGTGGCACCTGATTGATTGACTGAACACAACTGACTAGTGAATGTTGTGGCTAGAGAGCCTTCATCAGTTCATTACATGAATAACACCACCACAGATGCAAACATGACTTAAATCTATGCTTGCATTACTTATTTTATTGGATAACTTTTGTTTCTGTTCATTGTATGCAGTCATGTATTTTGTTTTTATGTGCTCCTGTGCACATTTGTAAAAAGGTGCATATGACCTGAAGGGAAATGCACTATTAGTCTGTCTGCCTCTTTTTTTTCCTTCTTTTTCGCATTTATATCCCTCTTACATGCTCCCCTCTTTTCTCCCACCATCTCTCTCCTAAATATCACCTCTCTCTCTCTCTCTCTCTCTCTCTCTCTCTCTCTCTCTCTCTCTCTCTCTCTCTGTCTTTTTCTCTCTGTCTGTCTTTTTCTCTCTGTCTTTTTCTCTCTATGTTTCTGTCTTTACCCTCAATGTGTAGTCTGTCTTCCACTCCTTCCATGCCACCCCTCTTTGTCTGTCTCTCTTCCATGTCTAATTCCTCCATAATCCCCCACCCGCTTTCCCTCTCCCCTGTTCTCTGTGCTCACTCCCTCTATACTCTCTGCTTCCTCTGTGTGTATTTACGCGATTGCATGTGCACACACACACACACCTACATATATATATGTATAATGTGCATGCATGTTTGACTTCTGATTTGTGGTACATTTTATTTAAACTTAGAATGACAACAAAGAAAGTCTGGCAGGATTGGATGATAATGACCCAGACACTGTAGAAGCACTTGCTGAGTTTCATTTTCTGGAGTCAGAAATGGTGGAGAGAGCAGGTGAGCAATGAGCTTGTTGTGCTTCCAACTAGGGCTGTGTTGTCACTCTCTGCTCCTTGTCTCCTTCACTGCATCACCTGTGTTAGTTGGGGGTCATGACCCCTGAACCTGTCTGTCATTGGTTATAATTTCACTTCTGCCAGCCAGCCATGAATTTTTCTAGTAATTTAACTCTTGCAGATTTGGCAACTTGCCATACTTTCATTGGCCACACTATGCAGTGTAGATTGAATAATTGAAGAAATAAATGCTTATATTTTATTTTCAGAGAAAAGATTTGTTTTGTGGTACATATGTATTACAAAACTTAACTTTGTAATAAAATGAGTGAAGCTCTATAAGTAAAAGAGCATGTCATGTTTCAGCAACAGATGTTGGCTGCCAGTTGTAACAGTGAAAAGATAAATTGTTTACCTTAAGCGTCATTGTTAATTTATTTTTCTCTCCCTCCCTGATATCAATGCTTATGTAATATTTATGGTCTCCCACCTGTTCTTGCACCATTTCTTGCATATCTTCGTCTCGTGTGCTACTTGTGTCATCTGTTGTATTTTGTGTGTGCATTAAAACTATCATATCAGCTCATCAGTTATTCACTTGTCTGTAGCTACTGCTGCTGGGTTTACACGGACTTGTTTGCTGTCGGCAAAGTCAGATTTTTTAAACACTTATATATTGAAGTTTTGACCTAAATTTGTAGCATTAAATCTCTTGATGTGATGTGAAGGTTAAGGAGAAATCATCGCGTTAATCTCTAAATTGCTGACATATTTAAAAATCTGTGTGCAAGTCTTTGGATTGAATAAACTGTTATTGCTGCTGATTTTTTTAACTGCATATTTTGAGGTGTAGTTGCGGATTACAGAAGTTGGGTTTGCAATTGCTTTTTTAAGAATTATGCCTATTTAGAGGTAGTTGAACTTAATTCTGTTTTAAACTGGCAGCAATGTTGTGTAATGTTGTACTAGACAGTTCCCATCTGTGTAAACCCATGTTGCACAGAATTTGCTCGTTGATTTTACCGTGTTGATAGACTATTAATCTCAAGGAAATGTTATGTTGTAAATATTCTTCTAATGGATATTTGGGGTAATTTTCTTTTATAGTAAAAATTATTAACTATGTTTTCATCAAACCATTTCCTTTCTTGCTTTTGTTTAAAAAAAAAAATTTTTTTTCCTTAAACACCTCTTAGTAAACAAACAGATTGTCTCTTGTGAACTCTTTGCATTGTTTGCTGTAAAATTACTATTGGTATTAACACAGGTTCACATAAAAGTTTTTTGTTTGTTTGTGTGTTAAAATAATAAAGTTATTTAGAAAATGTGAGAGCATTTGCTTTATGACTTCTTAAAGCCTACATTATAGACAAGGTTTTTGATCTGTTTTTGTTTCCATATAATTGTAGAAAGTTATTTGGTAAATTTTTTTTTTATTATTGACAAAATTAAATATTAGCTGCCATTCCAGGAGAATACACAGATGGTAGTAATGAAGAAAACATGGCAGAAGCAATTAGAAAGTTAACTTGGTAAACATTTCCTACTGCAAAAAATATTTCAAATTTGAGGAAAGTTCATTTTCTGCTGAATAGTAACAATACAACAGACAGTTATTGTGAGCACGTAAATTATTGTTACATGATTAACCATTACAAGAATGATAGAAATCTTTAGAGAGCGGTCTGGTTTTGCGTTGGGACTGAAGCGATAAATAAAGTAATGGTTGTTTTTTTTTAAATTAAAAAAAAAATAATCTATGGGATGGTTTCACTGTAAGACAAAAACATATTTTGTCTGCATTTAACCGTGCATTCCTTTCAGTTTAGCTCTCTCTCTCTCTCTCTCTCTCTCTCTCTCTCTCTCTCTCTCTCTCTCTCTCTCTCTCTCTCTCTCTCTCTCTCTTGATGTACCCCACCAGGACATCATACAAGCGATAAGCACCCAGCGACACAAAGTGTCACCATGCGGATGAGGATCACCGGTGGAGAGGTCCCAGAAACCCCTTTCAGCCGTCTAGGCCACATTTATGGCCCGGCTATATTCGGGGCCCCCGACAAAAGCGATGGTGGGGCTTCAAATAACATTCAGCCCTGTCTCCTTTGCCTGCCTGCTGTAGGAAGCTCTTTTCTTTGAGCAGGAATGTACTGTCATCTTGTGCTGTTACAGAAGTTGAGGGCAGTTTTCTGTGCCTTGAGGTGTATTGCCTTTTTGTTTTGTAGTTTTTTAACTACAGTGTGCATGAAGCATTTGATACAAATATTTTAAAAACTACCTTCACGCCGACTACCTTTTCATCCCAAGATTTTACCTGTACCCATTTTAGGCTGTTTACCTGAGAGTCAAGGTCATATTTTAGAAAAAAAAATTCATTGCAGTGTGGCTCTGAAGCCAGTGACTTCAGGCCAGCAGGTCAGCGACTAGCCATTATGCAACCACGGCTCCTGCTGTACTAACTGCTAGACCTAAATTTCATTAACTGGAGTGCCAATCATGGAAAATGTGGTCAACATCACACCTACAGCCTTTGCTTCTCACATTCGATGGTCCCTAGTTTTGTTTTGGTCAGCCTTGGAGGGGAGGCCAATCCTTTTAAAGATATCTCTGCTTTCTTCTTCTTCCTCCTCCTTCTCCTCTTTCTGCTCTTCTTCGCATTTAATGGCTGTAAACTCTAGCAGAACGTTCTGGTTGTTCACCGGCTCTTGGACTTTGGTCTTGATTTAAAACTTTTCACGCACATCCGTTTTACAAACTGGCTTATTTGTATGCAGACTGTTGGTTCCTCGCCTCTCGGGCAGATGCATGCCACTGCCCTAATTAGTCAGCTTTTACAGCATGCTTGTTAGGGGTCACCGGGTCTGTCTGTCTCCCCCCCCAAACACACACATAAATAGAGAGAGACAGGGCACCCCACCCTGGAACTGGCACAGAGAAACATCACACCATCAGCCTTTCCATTTTTGACAGGGTCAGCCTGGGAGTCCAGGTCAGTCTTATCTAAAAGTATCCCTGCTTTGAGAGGGATTTCAACACATGGCGACTGGACTGAGAGGGGCACACACTGTGCTACCGCAGCTTTCTGTGCTTGCTTGTTTGTGTCTCACCTCCATCATTCCAAACAGAAGTGTTCCATTGTGCTGTTGTTAGGGTTGGGAATCACAGCCCATGGTGATAGGGATTAAAGCCAGGATAAAAGTTCCTCCTCTCCATAGCAGAAAGCCGGGGCCGTATTGTAAAGACCATGGGTTGGTCACTCACGTACCATATATTATTTTCTAATTATTATAATATAAAATAGAGATGAATTGTAATTATTTAGCCAGTCATTAATTTTTCATGTATATATATATATATGTATTTTTTTTTACTTAAAAAAGGTATAATTCAGTGCCAAACTGTTTGGTCTGGCACAGTCTGGCCCATGCCCCATGTAGGGTGGGGGGTGGGATTTGAAAATGGCTCCTCCAGAGTTTAAATTACATAGAGGGCGTAATAGTTTAGAAAGACTTAGGTGGGGTATGGCACACACCAAAAAGGTTGGGACCAGATCAGTCAGTTTTTTTAATGCCAGCTCTCTTTTAAAAAATACATTTTGAAAGCCAGTAATTATGTTTTAAGGGATTTTCCTTTTCAGTCATCACAGGAGTCATACTACTTAGAATTTATTTTTGGTGTAGTCGGAACACATTTTCTGATGAGTCTCAGCCGTAAATAGAAACTATGTGCATTTTTAAAGTTTCATTATGTGAGTTAAGAATTTTTGTGGCCTGTTGAAATGAGTGGACAGGAATAAATTGTCATGTACCCTGTGTGGGTTCTGGGGCCCTATTATAGGGAAAACATGAATAGACCCACTGCCAACCCAAAAGCATGTCGTAAAAGTCGACTAATTGGGATCTTCCTTCAAAGTCAGAGTGCATCTGCCTGAGAGGCAAGGAACCAACAGTCTGCATACAAAGTAGTCAGATCTGTCAAACGGATGCACATGCAACACTCAGGTTCTGGAACAGGACTGCAGTCCAGAAGTGGACGAACAGCCAGAACTTTCCACCAGATTTTACAGCCGGTGATTGCGAAGAAGAAGAATTGTCATGTTCAAAGTGTTTCAGAAGAGGTTAATCAGTTCATTGTGGTTTTGAAGATTGTGGTGACTGAGAGGTATAGAGGCTGTCCTCAGATAATAATTTTTAAAGCATGTTGAGATCAATTGAATGCTAATTTTCTAGAGAAGCTTGATGACATAACTCATTTAGTTTGCTTTGGAGGTCTCCCAGATGATGAGGTTTGATCCCTGAAAAACTGCTGCTAGGGCTAGTGTTGATGTATTGTGCAATCTCTTGCTGGCTCTAGCAGCCAGTTTGTATCTCTACAGGGAGAGATGTAGCTTTATGGGATAAAACTGGCCTCAGGGAAGTTCATCCTCTTGCTATTTTTTTCTTGTCTGATGTATGAAAAGTACTTTGGATACCTAGTTTCGTTGGGCAGTGGTGTGAAATAGGATGTTCTCTGTGCATGTTGCTCTGGAATTAAAACTCTTTAGGCACCAGAACATTTAGCTGGACAGTTTCAAGGTAGCAATAAGTCTCAGTGGATATCAACCATGTGTGATAGCATTAGTGTTACATGTGAAGCCACACAAATATAACGTTTTTTTTTTTTTTTAGTTTTACTGGGCTAAACACTAGATAACATCTTTCTGGTTTGATAATCCTGAGCAGTAGCTGATCACACATGGCACATTAGTTGGGACTGAAATAGTTGAGTCTGAATCTGGCAAGAAACCAGGTATAAGCATGTGTGTAGGACGTATGCACACCTGGGACAGTCATCTGCATCATAAGACATTTGCTGTGGGAGACGTCGCATCAATAGGTGTCCTAGGATGTCGATTCTTAAATCAGTAAAAACCTCTAGATGTTTGGGAATAGAGAGCAGACCATATATCACTGCCTTGGCACATTGTCAGAATAAGAAATCTCACCCGAAACAGTATTTGTGGCAGGGGCTAGGCTAACATGTCTAAGATCTCAAATGAAGAAAAGAAATGTATGATGTCAGTTACTTCATTCAAGTGAATAAGTTTATTCTTGCCTCATTTATGAGTCTGTAAGTTGCTTAATTTGATATAATCTGATGATGGATAGTTTATGAGATAGCGGTGGAAGGTAAAGGTGAAGTCGGGAGATGAGAGCCAGCGTCATTGCACAAGGTTCTAAACCATACATGCTGTGCCACCAGTGCGGATAGCTGATAAGAAACTGTCCGCTTGTGTCGCCGCACGCATGTAACTCCCTAGCTACATCGCCGTTCCTCAATTTACCCCAGAGTGTTAACTCTGGTACCCATTACCTAGAGGCTGGGTGAACCTCGGGAACCGTCCAATTTTGAACACCGGCCATGGACTGCAGCGAGTTGCAGCGGAATTTGAAAGTGAGTTTCCTAAGGACTGCGCTAATGTGGCCCCCTTAGATAGATGAAATATTGTTGTAGTTAATATTTGCTATTTTTTAACAGTATCTAAGTATATAGCTGGTAAAATCTGGTTATCGAGGACAGTTGCTAGTTTAATTTTTAGTTTCTATAGAAATATATGGTTTGTGTGTGTGTTTGTTCAGAATAATGTTTCACTATGTCAGCATACTGTCATGTGTGCTGCACAGTTTAGGAATGTGTGTGCCTTCTGAAAGTGCATGAAGAATTTTTACAAAACAAGACAGTTTGTGTTTTGCTGTGTCAGTTACTTTCTAGTTATTAGTTAAGTCTTCTCTCCATGTAGATTTCCGGCTCTCACTTTGGAGGGCAAAAAAGAATAGATCAACTACCCGTTTACAAGCGTATGGAAGAAATGTGGATTATTAAGTAAAGGTTTACTGAAATTAGATGTGTTGGGTAGAAAGATGGGGATATCACAGCCTAGCTGTAAACCACAACCCAGCATGCTAACTGCCCTTTTAGGAGATGAATGCAGAAGTTACATCTCTGACTTGAGAAATTCTGCAGAACAGTGGCTTTGCAATCCTTTCTGTAAACAGATTTAGTTCTAGTCATAAATGATGTTTGCTTGCCTACTGGACCAGTGGTCTTAGGTTTGATGCTCTTTATCATCATCATTGTTATCCTGTTGTGCCATTTTATATCACATAAGGCTCGCAGTCTGTCCCTCCATTCTGTTTTATCTTGTGCAGTCAGTTCTTCTTCTGCGTTCAGCTGTGTCCGTTTACAGCAAGGCTGCCATATTTGCGCCTTCTGGCCAACACATCTGACTTCTGCAGACATTTATCGACCGGGTTAGCCTTCCTGGTTAGTTGTCGTGGGACATTGCACTGTGCAGTCAGTTCAATATCATGGATGGAATCCATTCCAGCACTTTTGGTCTGTCTTGTCAACGTTCATTTTTGGATTTCTTTTGGATGTCCTCGTGTCCTCTTTATTTCCCATTTGAGTGCTTGTTTGGTGATTCTCTGCTCATTTGTTCTGAGGATGTTTCCAGTTTTGAGTGTCATTTGGTCTTTAAAAATATGGGTCTAGTACCATGTACTTGGGAGTTCCGTGGTGTAGTAGAAAGACACTCACCTGCGTGTCGGAAGACATTTTAAAAAAATGACCCTGGCTTCCAGGTCGGCTCAACCTTCAGTGGGAACCAGGTATAGTCCTGGGAGGCAGTGAACACGAAGAAGAAGAAGAAGCAGGCAAGTGACTTATCACTGCTATTTCAGATGTGTATGGTTACAGACACATTTCATTTAAGTTCAAATTTTTTTTTTCTCAAGTGACTTCTCAAAATGTAACTGCTTTTCAAATACAGTTCTAAATCATATATAGCTAAACGATCCCTGTGTATAAAAACTAGTAATCAAGAGCCGGCCATTCAGAAGGCAGTGACAAACTACTGACCGTAAAGTTGCCCTGTGAGATTACAAACAGACAAAAGTGCTGAAGTTGGTTCTGCAGTATCCTGTAAAGGATAAGCTACTGACCTTTTTTTTTCCTCTCTAAATACAGAGTGCACACTATTTTTTTTTTTAACTCTCTTGATCTATTTTTCTAGTTTTTATCCAGGGAATTTTTTCTGCCGAACTTTCAGTTATCCTTCCGCCTTTCATATTTTGGGGGGCGATATATGGTTTAGTATGTGTAGACAATGTGTACCGGGAGACCCCCAAAAAAATGCTGTGTCCGTCCAAAAATCTCTTTGCCTGTCACTTAGTCAAAGTGTTGATATCATTGCCCTGGTGTCAAACAGAGAAGCATGACTCTCCGGCTGGTGAGGACGAGGAGTGGGTGGTAAATCAGCGACATATATCTGAACTCAAAGAGCAGTATAAAAAGGAGAGGAAGGGAAAGAAAAATAGTAAGTGTTGTCACCCTTTGTTGCAGTTGGTTCCTGTCTTTGTGATCCATTTTAATGTGGTAGGTTTTTTTTGTTTTTGTGTGTGTTAAATTTGAGATTTCCTTTGTGGATCAATTTTCAGATAAATGATTCATTTAAGTAAATAAGGTGATATTGTGAGTAGAATTAATATTGAGATGGAAATTAATGTAGTAATCTATAAAGCCTGATAACTAGAATTTAGACTGAAGATAACTTTTGAACCAGTCCTTTATATTTTTGCACACATCAAACTGTTTTTCTCAGCTTTGTGCATTAGTTAGAAAGTTGTTAATTATGGCCAAGTATCAGTGGTTGCTACTTTCTAATTAATGGGTCAGGTTTCAGTAATTTATAGTTTGAGATTAAAGTTACAGGAAACTTTATTTTCTTTTCCGCTTTATTCATTGCTTGTAGTTATAAATTATATGTGATATTTTAGTACCCAAGTTAAACATAGGGAAGGAACACTGCTTGAAAACAAGAAACAGCAGTTTAATTTTTTTGTTTTGTATTTTGTCTAGTTGGTTGCATGTGTCCTCTTCAGGACATTACAAACCCTTCAGTTGGCCGTTGTATGGTTTTACTAGGCAGTTTTACATTAGGCTATTTGCCATTGATTTCCGAATAATATAATGCTCTTACTGTTATTAAATCGGCTTAATGGTCTGCTATCAAATCGGCTGCAGCTGAGTAATATTTTTTCTAGAAAATCCATACATTTTCCGGGTGTGGTTTGATGTCAGTTAAACCAAAATGTAGTCAGTGCCTGTGGCTTTGATTGGCACCTTTCTGTCTTGTGGCTTGTGAAAGCAGTTTTGTAATTCTAACGTGCAGGGTTTGTTTTAGCTGCACAGGATTTTATCAGCAGACCCTTTGTGATAATTTTGACATTGATATGAGCATTGGTTTATGGAATGTAAAAAATAACTTCCTCGGTCGATCCTGTTCTACCAGGGTGTAGAGTTTTGCCAGAGAGATCACTATACTTTTCTATGAGTAGTTTTTATGTGTGTGTGTGGCTTTGTTTCCTTTCCATACCTCTGTCATTCAGAGACTGTCGGATGTTATCTTTACAGCAAACCCTGGGTCATCCTGGGATTCTGGTTCCCTGGTTCTTGTTCCCCCATGCCTGCCATTGTGGCTGATTCTGTCCCATTCTGCAAACATGTTCAGACCATCATAACTGTGACTGATCAACTGCAGTTTGTAAGGCCTGGCATGTAAAATTGCCTAGTAAAATTACAAGCGGCAGCAAATGCTAGCTAGGGTTGGTTTGCGACACCCTCTGCACAATTTGCAATAAAATTTAATTGTTTAAAGTAAAGATAAGTTTTTTCAAGTAAAAACAAGGTTTGTTTCGCATTATGATTGTTACAGTTGTGTGTATTTCTCTTTTTTATTTCTTCAGGATATAATTGATATAATCTTAGGGTTCTGTGTTTTTCTTTGAGCACCATACGCTTGGTTTAATAGGATTAAATGCGTTATTTTTTATGATCAGATGCTTTGTTTGTTAGGATCAAAAATTCATTCATAGAGAATGTTGACAGTTTGAAAGCCTGAGTAGGATTTCACTTTAGTTCCAGTGTTAATAAAATGTTGCATATAATTGAAGTCTTTGTGTCCTGAAGGAAGTCGATTTCCCATTGATTTTAACTTGCATGTTTATGTCCCTCCAGCATTTATACTGTTGACATTGTAATTGCCATTTCTTGTTGTCCTTGCATCAGCATGTTGCAACTTTATGACAACTGGTTTTCTTGTATGCACATTTATTGTGTAATGTATCATTTGCAGGCATACACTGTTTCTGCTGTTTTTTTTTTTTTTTTTAGCTTAGAGATTGTTTTTGTGTCATAAAAACATTCTTATGGAAACGCATTTGTAGAATGTTTGAGACTGCATCATTGCAGACCTTTAAGTAATGACTCCTAGGTTTGTATGTATGTGTGTGTGAGTGTATATATATATATATATATATATATATATATATATATATATATATATATATATATATATATATATATATATATATATATATATATATATATATATATATATATATATACATACATACATATATATATATATATATATATATATATATATATATATATATATATAATGTGTGTATATATATATATATATATATATATATATATATATATATATATATATATATATATATATATATATATATATATATATATATATATATATATATATATATATATGTATATATATTTCAAAGTATTGCATGAATTACAGACAAATTTCTGCCTCAGAACTTTATAAATTGGCTTTTAGTAAACTTATCATTATCGTATTTTTTATTTGTTGCTGATTATCGTTGATTGATTTGGATATGTTTCTGTTTGTGCTAGCAGAAATACTATATATTATTTATCTGTTTATGAATGTTACATTGCTGTTTGCTCTGTGGCCACCGTGCCTTTCAGGGCCGACCCGGCATGCTTTGCAGGCCATGCTTGCCAACCTGGGTAGTGAAGAGGAGACAACCACAGCTGAAGATGATTCTCAGTTGAACACAGGTGAAGATTTTCATGCTGGTAGGACTCCCATATCTAGCACTGCATCTTATAGTCTCCGCTGCGCTGCCTACTCATGCTATTATTAGGCAGATAAAAGGGTTTAAACCACCCAGACATCATGTTTTAATTTGTCATCAAATATCTTGGTAAATATGTCAATGAACGCATTGTTACATTAATTTGGGTTATTAGATTTCCGACTGGGAGATTTAAACTTGGTTGTTTATCCATCAAGTTACTTGTTAAAATTGTCGTAAGAGTTGGTAAATGTCCCAATGAGACACATGTTAACATGGCTGTTTTGTGTCATCTATACCTTGTTAATTTTGTCTTTTAGATTTCTAGTCAAAGTGTATTTAAGCATTTTTTAACATTTTTTTAAACACCAAAACATATTCCTCACACATTTTAGTGTACATTTAAATTCCTTTAATGCCCATCTTAGCTAATAGGAAATGAGCAAGGGTAAAACAAAAGGGTAAAGATTTGGAATAAAACCCTGACCTGATCTATAATTGTGGGAGGGCAGGGCAAGCCGTGAGTGCCTATGCTTATCTGTGGGGCACATGATAGTTACTCAGTGCTATACATTTATTTCCTCCTTGTTCGTGCAGTATTTTTGTCAAAACCATGTTGCCTTATCCAACTGCATAATACAGTTAAAAAGTATCAGATTTTTGCGGTAATGCTTTTGTTCCCTTTTTTTAACTTGCATTTAAATGGCTGAAACATATTGTAATATTTTCCGTTAATGGTGGTCTGTAGTCAGTGATAATAACCCATATGATTCCACAGTTCCTAATTTTTTTTTATTTTTTTTTACTTTAAATTAATTTTAAAATTTTTAATTTATGCTTCACGAAAACTCAGTTTATTCAGATAATTTAAAGCTAACTTTAAAAAAATATCCAAATCATGAACATTTTCTCTCACAGTGGTGGTCAGTAGTCGGGGTGAATCAGAGAATCAAGGGTTTTCCGGTTATTAACTATATGATTTTTATTTGAAGTTTGAATTAGTTTTTAACACATTTAGTAGTTAAACTAAATTTCTTTCTCCAGATCATTAACATTTTATTTGATATTATCTGTGGATACTAATCAATAATCAGGTTTTTTCCTTCTCATATTTTAAAAAAACCCAACAAATCCTTGATTTTAATTAACTGTTGTGGTGTAGCGATTAGTACATTATCTAGCAAGGGCTGTATGGTTTCATCTTTAATAAGCAAAAGCATGACTTTGGGTTAATTTGGTAAAATGCTTCTTCTTCTTCTTCACCTTTTCTTTCTTGTCTGTTAGATACCTTAGCAGAGTTTCGGGTGGGGCTGTAAGGGTCTTCTATGTGCTCTTTCTGATATGGCCAAACCATCCCATCTGTTGCTGTGTGGTGAATTGTATGTCTGGTGTCAGTCGTAGTATTCTTTTGTCTTTATTTTTAATTTTCTCTATTCCAAATGGGTAAAAGGGGAACTGGACAGTACTCATAATTTTCATGTTTCTTCTGATTAACATGAGTAAGTAAGCCCACCACCCTGTGTCATTTCCTTATGTACTATATCTTAAGGCATAAAACACCTCTTTCTGGCAGCATCTGCAATTGAATGCTTATTTGCTTTTTTTCTATAGATTATTTTGAATAAAAACATTCCAGCCTTTGTTGGAGTTCTGTAGCCATAGAGACCAACTACTGAGCATTTGAACCCACATAGTCATATCTGCCATTACCCTTAAAAGATTGGTTGGCACATTGTGTTGTGGTCTCCAGCAAGGCTGTGATATGTAAACCTTCCGGCCCAACACTTCAGGTTTCAGCACAGCCACCTTTTGTGACATGCTGGAGGTGGGTAGGTAGGTGCTTTGATGGGGGGTGGGGGGGGGGGTGTAAAAAGTCGTCGCGTTCAACTAGCATCCTCGAAGGAGAAGCTTTAGGTTACAGTTGTGACTAGGTTATGTGCACCATATAAAATGGCTATTAGAATTGCTCGCCACCAGGAGCCCAGAAAAGGACCCTTGCAGTGTTGCTGCAATCAGTGAAGACATACCCAAATACTGTCCTGACCGATGACAAACTTGTTTACCGGCGAGCCAGTGGACAACCCGCTCACGGATGATGGGCTGGTTAGGGGACAAGGGGGTCTCATTTTGTTTTTTCCAAACTTAGGGTCCGGAACGCACATATGTTGTCAGAAGTGTATCAGTAACATCAGCACTAGGGGGGAAAACAGTTCTACATAACAATAAATGTTACTGTACTGATGGGTTTATGAGTGTTAGCAGACTTGATCGGTAGACTAAAAGGGTGTTGGCAGTTTTACAGTGGATTAAAAACAGCAGTTAGCATTTCAGGTTGCCAATTTGTTGAAATGAATTTTAAATGCTAATAAATCATGACTTCCCACATTTAGAGTTGATAGAAAAAAGTGTTTTTCTTCAAACATTTATTTTAGCACTCAATTGTCAGGATGAATTGCAAAATTATGGCTTAATATAGAACAGTGTTGTAATGTTGCGGGAAAACTTTTTTTTTCTTTACCTGGTCGATCGCCTTCGTCAAATGTCAGAGGGTGTGGGTATTGAATATTTCAGTTACGCACTAATTTTAAGCACGTTTTGTTCCCTAATGTCTCTATGGCAGATGAATGAAAAGATAAGTATTGATCAGTGTTTATAGAATAGAGGACAAAAATAGATTGAAGATCTTACTAGACAACAGAAAAATCTGAAGCTCTTATGACAATTCCAGGATTCGGTCCTCAGTCGCGTTGAAATGACGGCATCTGGACAACAGAAAAATCTGACGCTTTTATGACAGTTCCAGGATTCGGTCCTCAGTCGCGTTGAAATGACGGCATCTAGACAACAGAAAAATCTGAAGCTCTTATGACAATTCCAGGATTCGGTCCTCAGTCTCGTTGAAATGACTGCATCTAGACAGCAGAAAAATCGGAAGCTTTTATGACAATTCCAGGATTCGGTCCTTAATCGGGTTGAAATGCCGGCATCTAGACAACAGAAAAATCTGAAGCTTTTATGACAATTCCAGGATTCGGTCCTCAGTCGCGTTGAAATGCCGGCATCTAGACAACAACAAAATCTGAAGCTTTTATGACAATTCCAGGATTCGGTCCTCAGTCGGGTTGAAATGACGGCGTCTAGACAACAGAAAAATCTGGAGCTTTTATGACAATTCTAGGATTCGGTCCTCAGTCGCATTGAAATGACGGCATCTAGACAACAGAAAAATCTGAAGCTTTTATGACAGTTCCAGGATTCGGTCCTCAGTCGCGTTGAAATGACGGCATCTAGACAACAGAAAAATCTGAAGCTTTTATGACAGTTCCAGGATTCGGTCCTCAGTCGCATTGAAATGACGGCATCTAGACAACTGAAAAATCTGAAGCTTTTATGACAATTCCAGGATTCGGTCCTCAGTCGCGTTGAAATGACGGCATCTAGACAACAGAAAAATCGGAAGCTTTTATGACAATTCCAGGATTCGGTCCTCAGTCGCGTTGAAATGACGGCATCTAGACAACAGAAAAATCTGAAGCTTTTATGACAATTCCAGGATTCGGTCCTCAGTCACGTTGAAATGACGGCATCTAGACAACAGAAAAATCTGAAGCTTTTATGACAATTTCAGGATTCGGTCCTCAGTCGCATTGAAATGACGGCATCTAGACAACAGAAAAATCTGAAGCTTTTATGACAATTCCAGGATTCGGTCCTCAGTCGCGTTGAAATGACGGCATCTAGACAACAGAAAAATCTGAAGCTTTTATGACAATTCCAGGATTCGGTCCTCAGTCGCGTTGAAATGACGGCATCTAGACAACAGAAAAATCTGAAGCTTTTATGACAATTCCAGGATTCGGTCCTCAGTCACGTTGAAATGACGGCATCTAGACAACAGAAAAATCTGAAGCTTTTATGACAATTTCAGGATTCGGTCCTCAGTCGCATTGAAATGACGGCATCTAGACAACAGAAAAATCTGAAGCTTTTATGACAATTCCAGGATTTGGTCCTCAGTCGCGTTGAAATGACGGCATCTAGACAACAGAAAAATCTGAAGCTTTTATGACAATTCCAGGATTTGGTCCTCAGTCGCGTTGAAATGACGGCATCTCTTCACTGCAGGGACAAATATACTTTGATACATGACCAACTTGACAAATGACTAACTTGACATCCATACAAATGATCTCATCAATATCCATATCTTCAGTTCACTTAATCTGTGTCTGTGGTTTTGGCGTTGTGAACAGGATTTATAATTCCGAGGTAGCCGGTTTGATTCCAGCTGCAGGCAATTTCGCAGCAGGATTTGTAATTCCGAGGCAACCGGTTTGATTCGCAACATGTCTTGATTTTGATAATCTTATCAAGGGGTGAATATTAGGAGAGCAGTGGTAAACCACTTATTAACGTAATACAGTTGCCTGATAAAATTGCAAACAGCTCAAAAATGCTTAGGCCGTCTGTGTAGCATCATTTGAAGGATACATAACTAGCATTTTTTAAATCCACTCTACTTACAACTGTGGAATGTGGACAGAATTTGTCATTGCAACAGTACATAGTTTGGGAATAATATGCATTCTTATCTCTAATTCTTTTTTTTTTTCCTTTTTTTTGGGGGGTTTCTATGAGTGCCCATCAGTACTTTTGTTATTAGTTATCCTGCTGTTATCAGTGACCTCATGAGTTTCCGAATAATTGCCCTCTCTACCAGAATCATGCTTTAACTTAATGTCAGGCATCCTGGACTTACTAAAACTGCTGGATAAAACTGTATACCGTTGGATAATTGAAACAAGTTAAACAGTCAATCATTTGTAATTCTTTATCTAGCTGCAAACAATTTATGGTCAGCATCTTGTGGCAGCAATTGTCACACTTTCAGCATATTAACTGCTTGAAATTTCAGGACGATTGTTGCCGTCACTTGTATTTGACATCTTTCTTCTGAAACACTCCGTTCTAAATCTGTCTTTA